TCTTCCTTTCCCTTCCCACTATTCCTTTATTTTAACCTCTTTTATTTGGAATAATTTTACGTGGATAAAGATTCACTTTGAAATGAAAACTTGAGCTACAATACGATTAGAACCGACATAACCTGTCTGTTCTATGCCTAGGTCTATATAATGGTTGGGAAAAGTATGCTAAGAAACCGCTGATATCAATTGGAATTTTCCATTTAAACATTGGGAAATCCATATATTTCTTGTGGAAATTTTATTTTCCCATCAACATTTTCTTTTTATAAACAATAGACGTCAAGGGTTATACCAGTTGAGTTGTGACGTAATGGCCTAATGTTAATTATATACAGTTGATTTGTGTAAACTATAGATAACAGCATGTTATCACGTAGGCAGTAGGTTTGTAAGGTAATAATAATAATAATGATAATGATAATCATTGTCTGAATTCCAGCCTTCTAAAATCTAGGCAAGAGTAATTTGCCTAAATGCTACTTTCAACAAAATATATGTGGTTTACTTAACAAAATTGTTGAAAAACAAAGGGAACATATGACTGAGACAAAAACTACAAAAGAAAAGGAAAGAAAATTATACAGTCAAGAAAAATCCCGTGTTTTTCAGACTGTAACTGAGATAAGCGATATTATCAGTGGATTTACATGACAAACCTTGAGAAAAACTTGTAATGTAGTAAAGTTACGCTATTTATCTTTCACCCGGTGAATAGTCAATACATAAAATACAGATAAGCTTCATTTATGTCTAGTGTGAGACAAACTCAAAGACTTGCATGCAGGTGAAAACCAACAAACTGGCTGAAGAAGCAAGGCAGGTAGCGAAGACAGGACTGACTCCAGGTGAACATAGAGAAAATGGTGGCGAGGAAGACAACCAACCACCCAGATGGCCAACAAGTCAGGTCTTTTACCTGCAGGGGGTGGGCTAGAAAGGGTGAGCCCCAAAATTTCACATCCCGACTTACATCGCAGCAGCAGGATCTTAATACGGAGACAACTTCAAAAACGCCTTCAACACAGGCCTTGTGTGGCCGGCCACATGCAGTTGTCCCCTTGTGCTTTGAAATTATAAAACACTAATGCTTCTTCTATTTCAGGTATATCAAGAAGAAATCAGCTTTCGAGACGTGGGCAGCCAAAAAGCAACGACCGCCCACACACATTTTCATAAGACTTTCCTGATTATTACTTCCAATCCGGACCTCATGTGCTGGCTGCGTGGGAGGGAAACAATGTCTTTGAAATTTGAGTTCACTACTTATCTGATTGTAGGAAGTGAACCGCCTCACAAGTTTAGTCAACAGATTTAAAGCTACCGTTTACTATGGTCCCGACCGATAGCTACCACCTTGACATGGTGGTCGGGTTTGTAAATTGCAATGGTAGGGAATAGACTAAAAGCAGTTAGCGGCACAGTCGAAGATGTCCACATTATGCTGAGGGTCTGTGGGCAAAGTCATGCTGCTATGGAACAGGGATGTAACAGCAGTATGATGAAAGCATGGCAACTATGCTGTCTCTCCACTCTGGAGAGGGGAAAGTTAGAAGACAACTGTACATCCTGACGTCCCTTACGGTGGTTCACAGTCGGTAGTAAGTTACTAATACGGAAAAAACTCTACAAGCCAGCTCAAATAAGCTGTGTGTGACCGGCCTCAAGCATTTATCTCCTAAGCTCTAAGGTCACGCAAAACTGATTCTGTGTTTCATAAACCTCAGGAATAAATTAGCTTCCACGGTGTGGGCAGCCAGGAAGTGACAAACGCCCACACGCGTCCGAAAGCACACGAAACTCTCCTGATCCTCACCTACTTTTATCTACTTCATCTTTATTATCTTGCTTTTCTACGGGCTTATCCCCTATCTTCTCCACTCTGTGACCAATTATAGCTACGAGAGCCGGAAAAACACTTCTGATAGTCTCCTAAATTCACGCTGCCAACTTCATACTAGTGCATTGGATGTTAGGGACCCTTTGCCAAATCGGACAACAGGCATCTCTAACCAGAACTCTGGTATCTCCAGGGATGGATGCATGTTGTTTCGGAGACACGCATACAAGACCCAAGTGTGGTTATTCCCCACCTGACCAACAGGGTTCTTTCGAATCTCTTTTGACTTTCTTTATGTGCTTGATGGAGTGTGGCAACTCGAACTGCTGCTGCACTTCTGTGTTGAAACCAGTCAGTTAGTTTATCGTGTCAGTCTACTCAAAGTTGATGTTTTAGTCTTCAGTGAATATTGTCATTTACTTCTTGAAATCAGAAATCTTTATGACGGAGATTTTTTTCAAATTTTGCATCCTATGTTTCTGTTCCTGGACTTAAGATTATGTTATCCTTCTTCATTTTTGTTGTTTTACTTTGATAATTGAGACGTCATGATCCATTAGATTCTTCATGTTGGGTTCTCGACTCACTCTGAAAAACAATGACCAATGATGTATCTTATGTCCGTTCTGACAGATTATAACACAAACACAGTGTTAATTGTTAAGAAAAAACTCTGAAAGCTTTAAAGAAAGCATAGGAATTCCTGGATGTACACTGATCGAACAATTAAACAATGACCAAATATATAAACTTAAACACCTCTGATGAAGCTATTAGGGAAAGCCTTTATCAATATAGTTTTAGGCCTCATCCAAATTTAAAGAGGAAACGGATCAGACTTTCAAGTTCCATCACAAACTGATTTCAGTAAGAAAACCAGATTGTAATGGACAGCTGTTCCGTCTTTATTAGGGACGATTCAGCATTACACACCCATGATCTCTAGGTTACACAGCGAACTCATTGACTATTCAGTCACTGGGACAGAACCCAATGGCCTGTGGATTACAACTTCTGTCAGTTCGTGAAACATAGCGCCCCTGTGAGCCGATGGTATCGGCGAGTATTAACCTAACATCCGACTGTTTCGACTCCGCTGGTCACAACTTCTCACAAGAACTCTAGGCAACTTTGCCCTATAGTCAGTAACTAGTGATTATTATTGTTCCCTTGGGTTTCTAGTGGAACATAGGGCTTCAACTACACGCCTCCACTTGCTTCTGTCTTCTGCTGTACTTTTCACCTGCATCCATGTTAGTCCATACTGTTTCAACTCCTCTTCACACGATCTCCTCCATGTCACCCTTGGACGTCCCAATCGCCGCTTCCCTTTCGGGTTCCACTCGAGCTATGGCCTGACGCGCGATGTCACCCCGCAGCGGCCTCCTCGGCGAGTGTCCAATCCATCTCCACTTTCTCCTGCATATTTGTTGGGCGATTGGTTCTTGTTTTGTTTGTTCTCATAGTTTCGGATTTTCAATACAAACGTCAAGTCACTTCTTCTATACGGATCAGAAACTTGACGGGTCACAAAGAACATTTCCAACAGGTTGCAGACCTTTATCAACAACTGTCTTCGCTCTATACTGAAGATCAGATGGCCGGAGAGAACCACCAGTAATTAGTGAGCATCAGATTAATTCTCAAGAGTCAGTTTGTAGGAAGGAAATAACTGAACACATATCAGTGTGACAATAATACTTATCCTAGAGAACCATATCCGGTTTGTCAAAGAAACAACACTAGAGACTTGCAACCAAAAGTTAGTAAATAACAGTTGGCTTGAAGAGTTTTATCTGAAGAGATAAAGCAAGGTTTCAGACATGAAGAGGGGGTGAAAGCTGACTAAAAATCCTTAGCAGCAACAATCAACACTGCTGAGAAACAAGGGCGAAATACATGAGAAAAGGCATCAGAAATAGGTAATACCCATTTACCTATCTAAGCTTATTAAAGACGGGTTTTAGAAAAGCTATGATAAATGAAGTTATCTCTGATGGCGATGGAAGTTCAACAACCTTGTAGGAAAGATGACTGGAATACTGAGTAAAAAGTTTCAAGTAGCAGTTTAGTTGGCAAAGCCACATTACAGTTGCTCACCACCCAACTCCAGCGGGAATGTGATGCACAGAAAAAGTTTCAACGGGGAAATTTGCTCAACAATATAGCAGTGCAAGTTGTCACAATCAATATAGCCCACAAAAGTATAGAAAAAGAAAAACTGCAAGAGAGTTACAATGACCGGAAATGTACGAGAGGAAGACAGACAGTCTACACATCCATACGTGGGTCAAAACCAACAGTCGAAGATTTCATGGAAGGATACAAGGTTTTGATGTGAACACCTCTAACCCTTTACCTACCTAATTCTATGCCGGCTAACAGGGATGCAGAACACAGTAATCCGGCTCTAGGTAAAGTTACCTATAATCTAAAACGAGGCAAAGCAGTAAGGCCTGGTGGTTTGAAACTAGAGGCATTTAAAGATGAATTGTTAATATGGAATTCTATACTGCTACAGTGCCCAGGTTTTACGCATATATGAATTACTGACTGAAACAAATAAGGTATTAGTTAGTGAATGAAAATTTGCGTCAATTCCGAAAGTATGGTGGAGATAAACACTTTAGTAACAACCGCGGAGGAAGGACTAGCTTAGCTAATGTACTTTTTAAAACCACAAGGTCCAATATCGTACGATGAAAGAGTGCGGTACGAAAAAACCAATCAGCATGTAACAATAATAAAACAAGAGTTGACAGGCATTTAAGTTTAACACTCCAAAGTGTACTCAGTCAAGGAAAAGCGGATAAAAAGTTGGTTTTAATCAATTAATTATCACAATCTAAAGTACAATCCTGCGCTAGGAGTAATGAACAATAATAATCTTTCAGGAAAAAGTCAATGCGTCAATGGGTCAGCGGTAGATCGCTCGCTAACCACGCGTATGGCCTCAGATTCAATCCTCCACCTTCGACGCACTTCTAAACCTTGCTAAGCTGGTAGTAAGTCCGGTGAAGAGGGAAGGTTGGGCGTGAGGCTAGCAACCCCCCACCTCGTAAAAATAGAACCACTGCTACCGAAACTTCAAGAGCTCTAGTTTGAAGCCCTATGTTCCACTGGAGGAACGTAAAGGAATAAAAAAAAGAAATAAGTCATGTTGAATCTAAAATATTTTAATTTTTTATTTCTATTTAGAAATCTTTTTAAGGTAAAAGTCATTCGATTCAATATACAAAAGAAATTAAAAAATAAATTTACTAATGATACGTGTTAACAAAGAATTCCTGACTGTTTCACTTTCACTTAAAATCCGTCTACATTCCTTTAGATCAGCTCCAGTCGCTGCTACAGCTGGTTCATTACGGCTACCGCCAAGTCCAGACGGTAGAGTATAATTGTTCTGATGATGATTTTTAAGAAGACGAGATAAACTTTGATATTCTGCTTCCCAAAAGTTAGCATCCAACTCTTGTGTCGGCTTTGATAAGCATTCAGTAATGCGACGTTTGATTTCATCTTTGAAATGTACTTTTCGATTACATGTATCAGATGGCCAACGATCAGCTAGTTCTTGCAGTTTTGCAAGTTGTTCAAGTGGTGATGTTGCATTGCCGTGTGTGAGTTTGCTAGAAACCATACCAGTGACTAACCGAAAATCTCGGTAGCATTTAGAAACTGATGGACGACAGAAAAATTGCATTCCTTTACAAGAAATGGATAAAAGAGGATTTTAAATAAATTAAAAGAGGTGGGTGTAAAACAAGAGTAAGATACAATTACACTTATAAAGCAAAAAAAATTACTAACTAGTGACTAAACTAAAACCAGGAAATCGATAAAGAAGATATTATAGTAAGCTATGATATTAACTCATTACATACTAGCATTCCCATTACTGGAGGTCTTGCTATCATTTTCAGTTTACTAGAATCAGACACCAACCTCGCCTAGATTACTAGCTTACTAGTTTTCTAGCCGGTCCTAAGCCCGGATAAAGAGGGAGGGTTGGGGCGTGTTGCTAGCAACTCCACCCCCAAAACTTAACCAAATTGCTACAGAAACTTCAACGCACAAATATATTAAAAATTCTATAAGAATCAGACACCAGCCCATCATTGGACACCAGTGAAATAAGTAAGAGCCTAAAATTCTGTCTGGAAAGTAATTATTTTACATTTAAAGGGAATTTATATAAACAGATAAATGGTGTTGCTATGGGTTCACCAGTTTCTCCAATAGTCGCTGATCTTTGTGCTAAATTGAGATCTACACAGTTCATTCTTGGAGAAACTGAACAGTGTACATTACAGAATCCAGTTTGCTTCGGAAGCAGAATCATACCTCGGTGAGCTACCTTTTTTGGACTGCCCAGTTAAGAGGAGAGAAAACGGATATTTTAGTACATCTGTATTGAGGAAGAAGACACACTCCAACGAATATTTAGACTTTGGATCATCATACATCATCAGTGCAAAGGTATCAGTTGTTCCAACTCTTTGATAACGGATGAGAAAGAAAAAGGAGAAATATCAAATATTACTGAAATTTTCAAGGAAAATTACTACCTGAAGAACTTCATTACCAGAATCAACACCAACATTAAATATGGTCGAAAACGTATTCCGAAGATATGGACCTCAATAGCTGTCATTCCATATAGATCAGAAACATCAGGCGATATCAGACGAGTACTTAATAAACACAACATGAATTTTCTTCAAAACATCAGACACACACTACAAAGCAACCTTCTCCAAGTAAAAGACCAGATTCCAAAGTATTCACAGTTTTATTGTGTCTATAAAATAAAGTGCTTGGAATGTGATGCAGTATACATCGGACAAACCTCTCCAGGGAGAAATGAAAATCAGAAGAAATGAACATCGTAGAGCCTCTATTCGACCATCGAGAAACCAGGTTGAACTAGAAAAGCTTGAAAAATCATCAGCCAGCCGTAGGTCTACACGCTACAGGACAATATTGAAATCAAGCAGGAAAAATTTCAGAAATCACAGAGGCACTTCATATTAAATGGAATCCAAATTATCTGAATTGGAATGAGAGACTTAAACAGAATTTGATCTGGTTACGGCACCACCCCCTCTCTCATGAAACGACAAAATCAACACGAATGTGATAAGCAACTTAATTGTGTAAACACATGCTGTTTTTATGATTTTATACGCTTATCAAATCCAACAATCTACACTTGGTCTTGTTCAGGAAAATCAGAAGAAAAATTCTAGAAACAAGACTGAAAGCGCATCTTTTGTGATCTTGTACACTTTGAAATGCCTGTTCAGTCTACAGTATAGATCTATGGATCAATAATTCTTAGTCCTTTAAGACAACAATAGTTATCTTGGATACATTCTATAAGTATATATAGCTCTTGACAATTAAGGGAAGTGAAAAAACACCTACACCAGTACTTCCGAACTAGGTTAGGTGTACAGGTAAGATTTCTCTTTTTAACCTGGTTTTAATATAAGAAAGTGCTCCATTATGTATATTCTAAAGATAAATCCATACCTCGAAAAATTCGTTTTAGAGTGGAATCATGATGACATTCGAATAGTGTCAATGTAGTGTTTAGCTATAAGTGGATACTGAGAGGACTAGTTATGGTAACCTCTTTAAGAAGTTGAAAGCCAGTGTACAATAATGAGATTAAAGCTTACACATCACGTTTGTAATGCAACAACAGTGTATTCCTTTACTAATTCAGATTTTAAGTGTATTCTCAGTCTCAAATATCAAATATCTTTGTTAAGAACTAATGTTAACTAATTCTTAGACTGGCTTCTAGGCACATAAGTTGCGAGACTTCACAACTTTCGGTACGTACAACACTTAGTGTTTCAAGATAGATGTATATGTTCCTCAAGCATGCCATAAGTCAGCGAAGTCAAACCATGGAAGCCATGAGAACACATGGCCTTTCACAACCTATTAGATTTACGTGTCTAATCAAACCGAATTATACCTTCTGTTCTGGGATTCTCTAACGAGTCCCAGGAGGGTTAAGTAATTGATTGCTGTGTAAATAAATAACCCATGGGGGTCAATATGGAAGCTTGCCATAATCCTTTTCTTGTTTCAGGTCCTAATTCGTAAGACGTCTCGGAATTTTTCTGCAATGAAATTGCAATCTCATCTTCCACGACAGACATGTATAAGTAGTTAGACATAAGAAAAAATACATCAAAGACAACTCGGAATGTACAGAGGGTACTCCGTGTTCAGCATCTTAAGAAATCTTACTTAAACGAGATCACGTAACGACTGGAGCCTCATGCAGCGACTACTTTACAGTAGCCTCACTACAAATATTGAAGACAATGTCCAATATATTTTTTAAATTTTGATTTACAGCTTGATTCCTCACCGTATTTTCAGTACAAGTGTGGAATTTTCAGCATGGATATCGGTAGCCCAAATTCAGGCCTACCATAGATATCGGGTGTGCGCCGGCAGGGGATCGAACCCCGGACCATGTGCATGGTCGGCGAGAGTCCTAACCACTGTGCCACCGACGCATATTTACGGATGAATTGCTTAAAACTTTTCATTTTTCGGCATTCGTCGCCAGATGTTATGGAAGTATTTTGACATTGGATTTCAGGACAGGCTATCTTTCACCTTGACTGACGAAGCTGTTCTGAACTCAGAGAGCGAAAAATGCCAGCTTCTTTGGTGAACACATGATTCGTTCAGTGGAAGTAAGGCTTCTGGGACTTGAAAGTGCCATTTAATCCTAAAGATGGGGTAAAAGTACGATGTGAAATGACAGACTTGGAAAAGAAATCAAAATCTAGGGGGTGAGTTGGTAAAAATTATGTAAGGTGGAACAAGACTTGTGGAGAGGATGAATGTCATTCTGTATGACTTTTCGTTAAATACTGAAAGTTATGTTTTTCAGTTGGTTTACTTTGTCCCTTGTTTTAATCAAATGTCTACTTGCTCCGGTAAATTCCCTATCAATACATTTCCCGGGCTGAAAACGCAAATAAATACATGTATTTGTTCACAAATTATTTCAAAATTCCCCGTGGCTTCCCTCTTCCCATGACAGTGATTGATCGTCCTTTCGGGATCCTACGGGAATTGCTTTAAGAATATAAAAGGATGTCGAAAGGTTTTGAGGAAAGGCTATATACAAGTGTGAGTGTTTGTTGATGGGAAGATAATGCTTCTGTATTTAGATAAGAAAGGCGATGGGATGGGCATTATTAAAAAATTTGCCTGTTTATGATGGCCATGGCAGGGACAGGGGTTGGACGTATTTCTTTTGGATACAAAGAACGAGTTTGAGTTTTTGGATAGCTTCTGTATTTCTTAATGTATATTCGCTACATTTACTGACTAATTAGCAGACTGTTCCAAATGATTTTTATGCTAAAAGTCGAGTTTACGTAATTTAAATAATAAATTATGCACACCCTAATGACTCATGTGTACCTGCATTGACCGGAATAGTATCGTTATCTTCCCAATTCCAAAGTATTTATTATGCAGAAACCAGAAACAAATCAAGACATAAACTGATCACCCGAAGTGCAGGATATACTCCGGTGTTAGAAATGTAGAGCAATGACTGCTGGCGAGTAGCTTGGGTTCACTCTTGAATGATCGTTAGTTTTACCCTGTAAGGTAAGTTTCAAGGTGGTCTGGGAACCTCACGGTTCATCCAGAACGCGTTTTAACGTGTATTGTCAGAGGACTCTGACGGCTTCACGGTAATAGTTACATCCACAATCATTGGTGGGTATTCTGTGGGCTGGGTGCCATTCAGGAGGACTGGCTCCAAGCTGCTAGGTTTTCTTGTGGGTATGTCGTTTTTAGGGGACTGATATTATGGCAGTCTTCGCCGTCGTTTTCGTCAAAGTGAAGGTTGCATTGGCCATGATTTTCTTAACGAGTGACAAACTTTGGCCTGCTCAGATACTCCTCACATTAAACAGTTAAATGGTACCGGCTATCAGCCACTTTTGGAGGGCACTTACAAGTAGGTCGTAATGGTCAAGTAAATTCGTGCCAATGATGGACATAGTGAAATCAGCAAGAAGGAAAATTCCCTGAATAGGTCTGAGTAGGCCTATGTTCAGAAAGATATATCTTCTCCGAAATTTTGTAATGCGTTTCCAGTTTGCAGCCTAGAACTCTAAGGTAAGTTCCTGCTAGGTGGTCTTTTTCTGTTGAGGGACGACATCCGAACATAGAGTAGGTGACCACTGCTATAGGCTACGGTTGTCACCGAAACGTGTCATGGGTAAGTCCCGTTAAATTTTTTATCCTTAATTAAACGATAGGTCTTTCAGCAGCATTTAGCTTCCCGGCTGCAGGCATTAGGATGCCAACACCACGGTGAAATTATATTTGCAGATAGTTTATCTTCCGACAGAAGCACGTTGAGATGATTCATGGGAGTTATTTTGAAAGAGTTGTGTAAATCTGTCGCTTTATATTCAATCCTCGGAGACAGTTTGCTGATCGAGCATTTCTAGGATTCTGCCAGCCAGTGTAGCTAAATCATTTATTGAGCCTGTTATTTGCTGGCCATGGCAAATTAAGAGACTCCCTTAAGAGTTCCACATCTAGTCTTCGTTAGCGGGTGACTTCATGCATTCACGGAGGCATTTGTACAAGCGGATGCTCACCTAACTCAGCACTGCGGAAGGGTTCGTAAAGACATTGGCTGTCCGAGTGATAGTTGCTACCTTCAGCGTCTGGTTAAGACTAAATAATTCCGGGGTGAACATTCATGTATTAACGCACCTATTAGATTCCCGTAGTAGGGCACGTATTATTGCTAGGTACTCTGAAAATGAGTCAGCTACCCCATGTCCCTGAAAGTCAGCTTCCAAATACAGAAACTATGTCTCTGCAGCGTCTACCCTAAACAACGACGTGAACAGGGGTGCTAGTGAGTCAACCGTAGGTTTGGGCTTCTGGCTACACATCGTAAAAGTGGTTTATGCGAAATTACGGTGCAAATACGAAATGAACAAGCACAATATGGAACGAACTCACAGATATATATTGTAGGGTGATAAAGGCTTTTTTACTAAAAATCTGAAAGTAATGCTGTGGAACGCTGTTTCTATTACATGAGCTGAGACGGTCAAAATTCACAAATCATATGTACCTGGAAGTCACATTCCTACATTGAACATAAATCATCCACACGCAAAATTCAAATCGTCTAGAGCCTTCTTATCGTTCCAACGTATTCCTGTCTTCTCATTCCCTGTGATCAGTCTTCCGCATAATCCAGTTCACCACGATTGAGAATATCATCGATGATAAAAGGTAGGCTACCTTGTTCTACTCCTGTATTCAATTCAAAGGCTTCGTGAAAATTTCCACTGTGGATCACCTGATGTATGGCATTGTCATATAGCCAGCTGTTGAATGAGGTTGATAAATACTTGAGTATTACACTCTGGAGTATTGAAGGAGTTTCCAAATTACTTCGTGGTCAACGCTGTCGAAGGCCTTTTCGAAGATGAAGTTGGGATAGAGGTTTGACTGTCGTTATATGCTTTGTTCTGTGATTACGACAAGTAGAGTTGCTTTTTGATCAGCACATGATTTGCCTTCCCTGAATATAGCTTGTTTCTGTGGATGGAGTTATGCACCCAGTGCATCTTTTATTCTTTCCAGGATGATGCGACTTAGTATTTTAGTTGGTGTGGACAAGAGAATTATTCTATGCCAGTTATTGCAGAGGTCTAAGTCACCATTCTTTGGCAGCCTTTCTTCCAATCGGTTGTCACCTTTCCCTCTTACAAACCTACTGCAATAATGGCGTGAGCACATATGCCGCAGTCTTTGGGTTCATTTAGATTGCTTTGGGGGGATTCCATCTGGTCCCGATGCCCTCCCAGCTGGACTTCAGTAGCTCCAGCATTCAAGATTTCCGCTTTTGTTGGAGGATTGGTGTCCACTGATGGGTAGTTGTGTGCCTGCTGTCAGCGGTGATGGTATTTATGGACGAGTTGCAGGTGATGGGCAATTCAAGAGTCCTTTAAAGTGATCAGCCAATTGTTTTATTCGTTTCTTCTTCTTGGTAATCGGGTTCCCTTGAATACCTTTTATGGTTGTCATCATCTGGGCTGATCTATTCCCAGGTAGAGATCTGGTTATCTGGTATGACGTTTTGAGGTCTCTTTTAACTAAGGCCGGCCTGTTCTGCTTCAGTTGCCAGTATGCCGTAGAATTGTCTTTTGTTTTTCCTAGCACTCTTATCCACTTATTTATTCAGTGTAGTATACATTGAACTCAGCTTTTCCCACTCTTGTCCATCTCTGCATTGAGTCATCTTCTCTTCCACCATCCTTCTCTCTTCTATTAGCCTCCTGGCAGTTGTCCGTTGACAGTCATTCCTTGTCTTGTCTCTTCTTTCTTCCCAAATCAGTTGTACACTTTTCTTAAACATTACCTTCAGAGAGTTCCAGTGTCATCCACACAGGTCGCCTCAGTGATGCTGCGTAGTGTCTTCGACTTTGCTCTGATATATGTAGTTTATTTCTTCGGTTTCTGGATGAAAAACTTGAATTATAGTGCCCTGTTTACAGTTTTTCTGAAGGCTTTCAGCTTTCTTGAGTTGGGTGATGGTCTCATCTCCCCTTCTCCACTTTTTGTCCAGCAGACTGGCTGCATCTTTACTTCCTTGTGTATGTCTTTGTGTTTGTACACCCTGCCCTCGATCACCAAATCATTAAAAGCGCAGGAGTCTGCGAAAAATTGTTCGTTCTCATTCATTTATCTGAGTTAGAGCCTTTCGACTGATGGTGAGTTTGTTGCGTGTTCTATTTGACTAAATGAGCGTACACGTATTTCCTAGTACTTCTTCACGTTTATCAATGTGCGCAGACGTTGTGGCTACTCGACGCCCACAACGTAAAATCAGAAGGCACTTGTGAAGAGTATAATCGTGTATTATAGCCGTAGTCAAATTTCGGAAAAGTATCAAGGTAACGTTCAACAGTAAATTGGCAAATGTTTACGAAGTACATATAAAATCGGTATGTGTAAACATATAATATGAGTATGCAAATTAGATTAAAAACGTATGTTTATAGTTGGTACAGGGGTACTACATAATTCCCCCACCAGAACACTGAAATATAAAAAAAATACATTTAAGTGTTCGACAAAAATATGCATCAGCGTATTATGCAGCAGAGATAGTACATAGAAAGCGATTTATTACGCTGAAAAATGAGCAGTTTAATGCAGTCAATAAGGCCGATAATAAATGCGATAATAAAAGAAAAAATAGGATTGATGATCGTGGTAGAATATATAAGGAATGAT